TCCCTACAGCATATAACTGAAGCATCTAATGTTGGGGGAGACTTAGAGGATCCATAGCTCTGGAGTAGCCTACCAAGCAGGCTGAGTACAAAACGACAATTTCCTTTCACAGACCATTTAAAAATACTTCCTCTTATTCCTAACTGACAGAAACCAAAAATTCTGAAAAGTGTAATCTTCCAAGAAAGAGAATTACTTTGTATGAACAGTTACTGTCCTTGTCAGTGAACCAAAGTGAGAATTACAAAAATAAAATTAAATCCCTAGAGCAATTTTATATCAAGTATCATAGGTTTTCCTTTTGCCCTAACAGCCAAATTGTTATCTTACTGGGGACAATAATGACACCACATAATTCTCTGTCTTATAAATCACTTCCAGTGGAGTGAGTCTATTCTGCTAGAATAAGAAATGAGAATAATTCATGTTCAGAAAAGTAGACGTCTAGTTGACAGCACTTACCATATTTCACCTGTGCAATGTCACCAACTACTATCTCTGCCACTGGGATTTGGATAACCTGTCCACCTCGGACAACAGTAAATTTCTGTTCCTGCTCAATACGACTTTGAAGCCCACGAAACTGCTTCTCCTTGCTCCAGTCATTGAAGGCAGTGACAAGTACAACACAGATAACAGAGAGTAGGATGGCAGCACCTTCAATCCAGCCAGCTTCAGCCTCACCTTCATCTTCAGCTCCTCCTGTTGCAGTACCACACCCTGCAAAGACAACATTAAGACTCTTTCAGTCAACTTTCTCACAAGAAGAAAACCTTGCTGTGAAATGACAATGAGGTTAAGGAACAGAACTGCTTTTCAAAGTACTATCTGTTAAATGAAACAGAGCAGAAGAGAGGAAAAACTAGAAATAAAGATGTCTGAGGAAAAGAGAAAGAAGCAAATCAATAGAAATGCTACATCTTTCAATTTTTCTACTGAACGTGCTGTCCTTGGTAAACCCCAAATAAATAAATGGGAAAAGAAGGCATCAATTCTGTTACCTAATAGAAGGGCTGATAGCTGCACCTGAGCCATCAAGCACTTCTACAAGCAAGGAGAACTTACCAAAAGTCACAATGAGTTAGAGCAAGCAACATAAATCAATAGCGTTAAATTCAGACTAAAGAAAATGGCTTAAATTAAAACAGATTTAAGAAATAATTTTCAATACCATTTCTGAACGTTCTCAACTAAATGCACTTGTAAGGAACACTTGTTTAAAAAATTCTGAGATTCACTAAGTGTATTAGCATTTAAATGTGCTATTGAAATGTATTAGGGAACATGGGGTAAAAATAATAGCCTAATATTAATTCATCGTTCCTCCTTACAGGGAAATACAGTGGAATGCTTATAGAACTGTAAGTATATTATTTTTGTCACAACTAAAACAGTATAAAAAACCCCTACATTATATGTATTAATTCTGACATGTTAATTCTGACTTGCTTTTTATAGATCTGATAATTATTTATTTCAAAGTAATATGCAATTAAACATTTCCTAGATGGCATTCACAAAATAAAAATAATATAGCTGTCCTCCTTAATGAAATAAGATCTAAAAAAGATAGTTTATAACAGTGGATGGGAAAGTACACATCCTAGGATCACACAATTCAGGGATATCCCAACTGACAGGAGAAGAAAAGAAGAACTCAGTCAGAACAATGAAGCCTCCTCACATGAGCGACCCAGGGAGGCAAGCAATATTTTACTTTATCATGAAAAACTGAACTAAGCAGGCATTTGACATCACTTTTCCATCTTAGCCAAGTACCAATGAACTTAAGCAACTTGGAAACTGTGCCGTTTCCATCTATGACTAAAATTTCATTTTGGTATACTCATCACCTGTCACTAGAGGAAATTAACAAGCAATTTTATTTCTATTTTTAAAGTTAGAGAGATTTCCCTGTAACATAAGCATCATAATTCATTAACCAGTTGAGTTCATATACTCTTGCATATGACAGTAACAAAACCACCTAAAGTCAAAGGAAGAAAGATGATGGACTGAAAGCCCACTAAGTGAACAAAAGAAAATTAAAATAAATTTTTTACCAATATTCTCAGTAGTTTAAATTTAGACTTAGCATAATCAGAAGGAAACGCACACTCCCAAGAGGTTTTTCTAGCAGGGATGCTCAGACTGATGACCTACAGGAACCTTTATCTGCAGTACAAGAACCTTGCTAAAGAAACCATTTTTAAAGCAGCCAAGAAAGAAATTAAGTAACCTTTTTTAGCTTCAGTACCTTAAACTACTTAATACCAGTCACAAATACAACCTACAAAACACTTCTTCAATTTCTTCCTTCAGCAGAACATTACTTTTGAGAAGGACTGATGAGCTGTTTAAACTTAATGATTTTGATTGGTCTATGTTTGGTTTAAATGGTTTCCTAGCACAAGTAATTCTGTTTTGGCAAACGTAAGAAAAGAATTTCACTATTCATTCGATATGATTTAGAATCACGTATCATGAGTAATGTGTTGTTTTTAAACAGCACACATCCTCTCCTATTTCTCACAAAAGAAACAGAGATTGATCTAGCAACAGTCAAAGACAAAACCCAACATCTAGTCATTGCACTTGAACCCAGTGTTAACACACTGTGCTTTGAATGGCTTGGAGAGCAATAGTTGTGTCTCTTCAGGGAAAAAAAAAAAAAAAAACAAAAAAAAAAAAAACACTTCTTGATTCAGCAAAAGAGGTAAAGGAATAAAAATATTAACTTGAACAGTGACATGATTTCTTTTATGTGTTGTCGTACCACGTTAATATAAACAATACTTTTCCTAATATGTTCATAAAAACAGAAAAAAATAGTCTAACATAGCATGCAAATAATACAAGATGTTAACATCAAGATGAAAGGAATTGTGTTCACCTGTCTAAGATTACACTCAACCAGAGAACATAATTCACTTTTCATAATACACCTGAAAAAAATGTTAATATACATATGTGATTTATGGTAGTGATTTATTCCAAGACAGTGAATTGTGAAGCACTTATTTAAAATTATATTTAACATAGGTCATACCTGTCTGAAAATTCAATTCCAGAAAAGTAAAAAAGTTTTTAATAACTATGAATTGTATGTCATGTGAGTGTTGCTCCCCACAGTCATAAGACAGAAAACGCAGATGCAACTGAGATTATCAACATCTGACTGCAAGTCACGAATGTAAAAGGCTGTAACTCCTTTGGCACAGAAAAAGAAAATGAAGTAATAAAATGGACCAGTTTATTCCAAAGGAGTGTGGAGGAACACATAGGTGAACCAAAACCTCTGCAGAGGAGCGGGGCTGTGTGGCCTCAGAGAACGTTCAGAAATACAAATAGGACTAATATGATTATGTCCTCTACAAAATATCTCCAAAGTACATTACCCAAAAAAAAAAAAAAAAAAAGACTAGGAAAGTAATTAAAGTAATTCAAACCACCACACGAAGTCAATCCCCCAGAAGTCACACAACCTGGGTTTCTGTCTCATCGGAGATTGCAGGCAGCCTAAGCACAAGAGCTAGAGGCTACAGAACCTGCCCAGGAACCCAGAAAGCTGGGCAAATACCCAGGCACTCAGCCTGTGCTGGACTCATTGATGCACTCCCTCACTTGGCAGTGTTTTCTAAAGTAGCCTGAGAAGCCTATTCTGCAATAGCAGTATTTTAATTACATATAAGGCATTCGAAGAAAAAAAAAAAGAAGATCAAAGCATAGGATACTAAATGGGAGGGGACCTGTATGATAAAAGACTTAAATATATTTGTGTCAATAAGGGGAAGGTGAGAAAGGAGAGGAAGGTTAAAGCACTTCAGGAAGACAGTGAGCAGGAAACTTCACTGCAACTGGCAGGAGAAAATAATTTGGTTGATTGGAATCATCTCAGTTTAGTGAAAGCCAAAAAGGGAGAAAAGGGAAAAAAAGTAAAAGGCCACAGAGCCAGACAGCATCTCCTGACAGATTACCAGGCTCCTGTCCTGTTGGCAACTGGAATGCTTTTAGGGTCATAGCCGCCACTTCAATATAAATGTTTCTCATAACACCAACCAAACCTGGGCAAATACAAAAAGAATCATGCAGGCACTGTGCAGCTAAAAAGAATGTCTGTTTTAAGATTTCAAATAGGAGGAGATTCTTAAAGCTGCCTTGAATAGGATAACGATTATAATTACAAACCATACAGTTTTAAGCTGCAGCATGGTAATTTTTAAATCAGGAAAAGTATATTTTTAAAAACTGTGAACATCTGTATTCCTAAGTCCCAGCCTACAGCACATACCTCTCAGCTACTCATTTCAACCTACACATTTCCATTTTTATGCTGAGAATGCCTTGTGGCATTTAAATTCCCTAGGAAAATCTCATATAACACCCCCAGAGGTAATTTTTTTAGTCAAACTGGTTTTGTCATCCGAAAGACAACAGTTCCCACAATAGAAACTTTTTATCTGATTGCATTCTGTAAAGACATTTTTCCTTTGCTGCAACTCCAGCACTGATGTTATTGAAGCAAAATTGAGTGGCTCTAAGTTACAGGTTTTTTATTAGTATATCTGGGCTCTTGTTACTAACATCATAAGTGATGTTACTTATTTTATTCAGTTGGGTAGGAAAAGGAACAACAACCAAAGACTATGCAATAAATAAAATAAATTCCCCACCTTAACAAGATTTTCCAAGCTGTAATGGATAATGCAATATTTATTTTTACAAAATGAGTCCAAAGAACAACTGCCAGTTACTGAAGGACCAATACTTCTTCCCAAAATCCTTGGTGTGAGGGTGCATCATCAGATGTATTGCTTCCAGTCAGGGCACAGCACAAGGGAGCGAGGCCACAGGCTGGCAAAGCTCAAAGCATCTGTCACTACAGAGCCACAGCTAACAGCAAAGTTGCAGAAATTACTGCAACTTCAAGTTTTCTGTCTGTCTCTCATACTCTCCAAGGGCTTATTCACCCATGAAAACTATTTTCTAGTTACTAGCTCCCCCAAAACACATTTGTTTCTGTGACCAACCATGCAGGGATTTACTAGAACAAGATATTTACACTACACACATTTCAGATTTAGGGTGCTTGTAGAGTCACTAAAAGTGATTTCTGGATATTTATTTGAAAACAATATTAGAATTCCTTGCTTTGTGATACATCAGTTAGTTATATAAGGACTCCGGCGGGGGGAAGGGGAAAAAAAAAAAAAAAAGAAAAGCTACTGTCCCTGTAGGTTAGTTACATAACTGTCAATTTTGGAGTTCTACATTAAATATTTACACATTTTTGACATATTCATGCAAGGAAACAAATCTGTAAGCCCTGAAAGCATATATATTCACACATTCCTCACAAACGTTCATTAATGTTAATTAAACTACTCACTCAACTTCAAGAGATACAATATTTGAGCAAGATTCTTCTGAACTGGCACATCCAAGGAAATGCATTTTGCAAAGACCAGTCAAAAGGACAGGGTCCTAACTCCACCCAAGGCAATGGCAGGAACATGACCATACAACTATTTCTATAATGTTTATGTTCAATTTTGTTTCCTTTTGTGGCCATAGAAAAAATAGAGAATGGCCAATATAGGAATTTAAATCATAAATCCTCTTCTTGGGGATTGCAAGGGAAAAACTTGACATCTGACTGCTACAGTTATACTGCATATTACTCAGAGGTAAAAACTTCTGGTAAATATAGCCACATAATC